TTTAATAAAAAGGGATTGAAAAATAGTATTTTAAGAATGAAGGCATGTTTTCCAGCAATTTACACACAGGTAGCAGGGAAAGCAGAGTTAAGAGCTGAAGGAATGATTTCTGTATTTTTGAAATAAACTGCGCTCAGTTTCCCAGGAAATTCTCTAAAAGAAAAATATTGTGCAAAAAAAAAAAAGACCCCTTTAGTTTCCATAGCCTCAGAATGATATATTTATAAGCTTATACCAGGCTAAAAATTGGCAGCTCAAGAGGATCACATGTCTCTGAAGACAGAGAATGAAGAGCCAAGCAGCAAGTTATTAGAGTCTGAAAGAGATACTCCCTTTGAGTAAATGCTGTTGTTGTATGCGTGGGAGCTGGAGAGGGTAGGAGAGCAGTCTCGTAGGAACACAGGCATTTGAATGAAATCATGAATGATACCCTAAACTAGAATCATATTTCAAACAAACACGCAAGTGACAAGTGTTATTTCAACACGTCTAGTTTCGTATCTGTTGAAAGGGCTGTTAGGAAATCTCTCTAAAAATGCTGGGATTTTTTTTTCTCCAGCAACACTTCCCATCAGAAAGAGCTGCAGCAGCTGGGAAAGAGGCTTTGAGTGTGACATTTCTCTTAGTATTTGGTTGACACTCTCTGCTTTGGAAAAAATCTGTTCCAGGAACTACAGTGACTGGAGACCAGTGATGTGTTAATTAAATATTGTGAGGAGTGACCCAAAGCCTTATTGTGCCATCACATCGCACTGGAACACGATTTTTAGGTTAAACAGCACATCCTAAACCCAGCTTTACCTTCAACACCATGTCAGCTCATGAGAGGCAAACTCTGTGCCCGTGTTTCACCTCCCAGAAGCAAAGGCTCAACCTTTCCTCCCCTCAGTTCCTAGTCCCGTTGTGCAGGATTTGCTGAGAGCAGGAACACGAGCAGCAGCACGTGTCACACCTGCTCACATGTCCTGCCTGCTCTGAGGAGAAATTAAACCCGTTTCTGTAAGTCACTGCAGGTCCCAGATCAAATGCCCCCGAGCTGGACCTTTAACTGGTGTTGACTGTCTGTACAATCCCTGTGAATGTGGGAGAGTGGGGGCACACCCCAGGGATACCCCAAACCCCCATGTCCATGGAAATGCTCCCAGGTCCAGCAGGTTGGATAAAATTTAGTTTAACAAAACTTAGCAAATTTATTTGAAAATAACCTTAGAGTGGTTCTGAAACAGCTTCACTTCCTTAGGGGTTTCAGGCTCCCAGCGAAGCCCAGCTGGAACCAACCATCATGCCTAGGAGGAGCTGCAGAAGGCAGCATAAACCAACAGATGATCGAGGTGGTGATTGAGGCAATTTTGGGTTTCCTTGGTCCAGAAGACCTAGAATGACTAGTGCAAGTACCGACCAGGGATGTGCCAATATTCAGGCAGAACTCCAGAACTGGAGTTATAGCTGTGACTCCTCTTACTTGGAGTAAAACAATCAAACCCTTGCTTATCAAGAAACTTTTGAGTGTGGGCTGGGCTGGTTAAAAAAACCCCACAGTTTTATGTTAAATTTGCTTTCAAAAATGTGCTTTGGTCAAAGTATAAATGCCTCTGATGGTTGGCATATCAATTTAATAGTGGAGATGATGATAAGGAAGTGCAGACTTGAAATAAGGTACCAAAGTGTAACAATAAGGGTACTTTAGGTTTCACACAAATTATCAGAGGTTGTAATGGATCACTGGATATATTTTTAACACCTATGGTTAGACTTCTTCTAAAAGAAGTGCTAGAGGCAGCTAAATTAGAAATATATGTGTCTCTACATCATCCTACAACCATTCACCCAGCACTGCCAAGCCCATAACTAAACCATGTCCCCAAGTGTCACATCTTTATGATACAAAACCACATGGGGTGAGCATCTATTGTCACTGTCCTGGACTACAGGCAAGAGGGAATTCCCACCCACCCCAAATGGGGAAAATCACCACACTGAGGCAGTTCCTATAGAGCCTTGGGTGGGAAGTGAGAGGTTGTTTTTGTGTCAAGATTAATCTTGGGTTTGTTAGTTGATACAGAGAAAAAGGACACAGAGCCAAAGCACAACCACAGCTAGTGAACTGTCACCAAACAGCTTAAAATTAATACCACATTAATTAACACCACATTAATGTCTGAGGCTGGAAAGTTCTGTTTTGTAACTCTATCTGTGTGCTGAGGTAGCCTCCTGCATACTGCAGTGTTTGCCTAAAGCTCCTCTCTTGGTCTGGCAGCAGAGCTGTTTGCATTGGCAACTCTCTGCCCCCCTTCCCTGTGCAAAGTCCCAGTGTGAGGGAGAAAAGCAGCTGAAAATGGAGAACTTGAAATCACACCCCTTCTATGAGATCCCCAGAGGTTCCATTCTCACCCTTCAGAGCAAAGAGCAGCAGTGTTTGGTGTGAAAAATGCTTGTAACATCTACAGACATTCCTGGTGGGACTGGAACACATTTTTTAAAAGTCCCCCATAGCAAGACTGAATATCTGTTTGTCTGAAGGCTTTTTTACAATGACCTTCTCCACGTCGTGTTTTCCTGTGGTAGCAGAATCAAACCCCAATCCTCAGAGGACACAAGAACTGCAGGACCAAAGTGTTTTCCTGTCATCTGCAGCTCTCAGTTTGAGCTGAGAATCACCCAAAAAATACCAGAGACAGGTGGGGTGTTAATTCAGGGATAGTAATGGATTGATTGGGAAAAGCTGAGGGAGCTCTGGCCTCCAGCTGTCAGCAATACCCCTCATGCAAACAGGGGCTGCAGAGGCTGGAGAGGCACCCCTTTTATAAGTAAAACTGTTGAAATTACTCACCTTTCCTGGCTAAACCAAAAGCTGATGTTACACCTCAGCCTAGAGCAAGGGCCCTGCCTGTGTGTCACCCACACCAGCAGCTGTGGGACAATGGATTTGGGAAAGGGGGGCGAGCAATAGAAAGCAGACTGGTTTCCAGAGGATGGTGAATGGTGGCTGTCTCAAAAACTGGCTGCATTAAATACCCCAGACTGAAAGCTGAATCAATTGCAAATTTAAAATAAATAAAATTAATGGCCAGAAAGGAGATCACGTTATTAGAAGCTGCACACTTGCCATTCCCCTGGTATCAACTTACAAAGGATGGGGTCTTACTGACTCTGGAGTTTTGAGTTTGTTTGGGTTGCACCTTTTTCCACCCTTATCCTTATGTGCTCACCATCAGCACAGCAATGAAAGGTAAAGCTTTTCCTGAAGTCTCTGCTTAACCAGGGGACAAGTGAGTAACAGCAACACTCTGGGAGAGAGGCACAAAGCAGCATCTCAGCGTTCCCCACACCCTGCGTGCAGCCCTCCAACAGGGACCTGAAAAGTCTTCCTTAAGAAGTAATGTCTTTTCCTCTTAAATTACTGCTGGAAACCCTTGCACACCTACAAGGGAATTTTCCCCGGGGAATTTGTATTGTCTGCTATCAAAAGACATCAATAACTACACAAAGCAGGCCAAGCCTGTGATATAAAAAGTACATGAACAGATTACGCCAGAGGCAGCTCAATAATTTGCATTATCTGGACACACCTCGGTTATGAAAGACTCAACCTTTTATACATTTAACACAGCCCCTCCAGGAAAGTGAGGAAAACACTGTGTTACTCACAGATTGCAGGCTGGTCTCCAAGCAGCCATAAACCTGGAGATCTTGGTCAACATCTGCCTGCTCCCCCAGGGCTGGGAACAGCACAGCATAGCCAACCCTGGTGCTCCCACACACGGTGCACAAGTGACTGTTACTTTTCTGTGCTGTGGCCCAAAATGGCAGAAAGTGGATCTACTTATTGAACAGCTCTTGATGGACAGAGAGGCCTTTGGATTAAGGGGGTTTCACTCCAGGATAAAGGGCAAACAATTTTTCATCTATAGTTCTAAGAAGAGGGAAGTTGTAAGTATCAGTAAATTAGAGGTTTGCATTTCTGAGTCAAAAAAAAAATGCAAATACAGCTGGCTTGAACAGTCTTACAGCAAGAGGAAGTCACTTGTTTCATACAAACTTTTTTTTAAAAAATCAGAACAACAGCTAAAACAGAAGTAAATGAAGCTCACACAGCTTGCCCTGTCCCCTCAGCTTGCACAAGGGCTGCACCAGGAATCAGTTAAGGACTCCAGCTGAAATGCAAACCAGCTTCCACAAAAAGCTGCTGCAATTCACTCTAAGAGCTATTTCTGCACGAAAAAGGCACACTGAACAAGTCAGCACCCTCTCAACTTGTAAAGCAACCCGTGTTTCTTAGTAGCTCATTTCCCTTAAAAAATATCAGTGTGGTGCAGAGCTCCTCTTTGCCAGGCTCAGGGGAGATACCACACAGAAGAGGATTTTCATTTTTGGCAGTTTAAAGCAAAGATTTGGGGTTTGGATGGCTAAAATATTTGTACAAAACCCTGAAGAACCACCTCTGACACAGGAAGCCTGTCACAAGATGCAGAGCCAGCATGCTGCTGTGGCACAGGCTTCATTCCTCACAACTTCTTGGGCATGCAAGTTAAAACAACCTCAGGACAACGCAATTTGGCTTTTGAAAGCATAAGGAAAGGGCAATTCCAGTAGAGAAGTAATTACAGTTTATATATAATGTGCAGTTTATACATGAAGTATTTTATTCAACAATAAAATGCCTCTCTGATTCACCCAGCCACGTGCAGGAAGCAGCAGGTGCTCTCAAGTTAATTTGGAAGGGGAAAGCTTGCAGTGCCCTCATAGCATGTTTTATCCTTCAGTGCTGCACAACTGAATGTTCTTTGGGACATCCAATGTTTCTAAAAACAGGACATGAATCTTAGAGCTGTGAAGTATCAGCTTATTAGAGGAAGGAAAGAGCATGAAACCACACCAGTCATGTTGCTGTAGTATAAAAATGTTCCACAACCCCCAGTATCAAATAGCACAGCAACTTCTGATGCTGAATGAAAACACCCAGAAATCCCTCCCCAAACCCCACAAATGCAGGCCAACAATGAACAATCTCAAATTATTTATTAGGAAAAGACAAAGGACTGTTTCAACATTCGTACAGAACAAATGGTAACAAACCCAGGAAAATAAACTGTAAAAAGTAGGCCCATGACAGAGGAGTTGGGTTATGACAAAGCAAATGAAATCCAAACTTCATTCATGCAAACAAGCAGTAAAGAATTATTTACAGTTTCGATGGGATGAATTATAGCATTGGCCATATTTGGGCCCAAATCAAATTACTCAGTGACATAGTAAAGGGATCTAATCTGTACATTCAATAATGAGGATCTATAAAAAGAAAAATAATTTAAACAATTTACAAGATGGCATAAAAGGCATCATTTACAAGAGCTGTATTAACAGGTGACACAAAGGTATTCATCAGTAATTTATGAATAAAAATTTGTAGCACGTATTTTTACATCACATCTTCAGTGTCTGAACAGTAAACAAGGAAGCAGAGACATACCATGAGTGCAATGTAATAGAATAAGGCAACTTAACCAAATGGTTCTTCAGAGAACTTCATCCTACAAGGGTTTCCAAGTCATAAATTTGCCTGCTTGCTCTGCTAACTAAAACAAATGTCTGAAGACAGCAACTGGTGATCACAAGGCCTGCACATGACGAGACAGCAGATGGAAAATTAAATGCTTGTTTGTTAAAATGCCAAAACTCAAGAATGTAAAAGTGCAGATTATCAAAAGCCCTCTATGCCCTAACACCAGCACACTCATTTTCATGTTCTAGATGTTGTAATTTAATAGGTCTCAAAATACTAATTCACTAGTCTTATAAACTCTTTTGCAATGCACAATCTGAAACTAATGTAACTCCTCCCAAAGCTCGTATTTACAATGCTCTTAAGCTGATGGTAGAAGAATTGTGAAATGCTAGCAATTTATAGCAAAGATTAGCAACTGACACATGATATTCCAGTTCATTTCATAGGCAAGGCTAATTAGCACATTTAGATTTTAAAATTACTTTAAAAGGGTATTTTTGAATTCTCAACAGCTTCCCCCAAAGCATTCAGTAATGGCTGAATTTCTTGAAGTTTTAGCAGAGAACACTGTTTGTGCAAACAGCTACAATAACAAGATGAAGGCTAACATGGAAATACAGCAGTGAAGAGTCATCTGTATCCTGATGCACCACGGGAACGTTATGGGCCTTACAGGAAGCAGCACAGGAAGCCACACCTGCCAATGACTTGCCACATTAACACAGTCCACATACTCAAAAAAAAAAAAAAAAAAAAGAATCCCAACAAATCCAAAAGGGAAACTTGAAATAAGGCCAAAAAGTATTGGCAAATGATAAAATTTTCAGTCTGTCAAAAGGACCAGGCCATAAATATTTTATTTACAATTTCTAGTTAGAATCTTTATTTTCAACAAATGATTTAGCACCAGCAGGAATATGCAAAGTATCATTACTGTGTTCCCCAGGCAGAAGACCTTGAGGCCAAATCTTGCTCATTAGTTTAAAAGGATCATCTACTCAAGTAACTAGAGTGAGCAGGATTTGGCACTCAGTCATGCAAACTGAGACTGCTCAAACATATTCCATTAGCACATTAATAATTACAAACAGATTACAGCATCTTTTGAGATGTTTTCAGAAAGTGTGTTTTTTAGAATACTTAATATGCTTTACACGTATGAAGTAAACAAAATTAATAAAACAGGCTTATTTGCAGACTTTTTTTAACCTTAGAACATTTTACCACAGATGACAAAATACTGGTGATGTACTTTAAAATATCAATAAAACTTAAAAGAATGTAAGCAGGATTTATCCTTCTGTGATAAAGCATTTTTTAATCTCCCATGGTCATGTCTGAGGACTAAATTCACCCATTTTATCCACAATGATTGTGAAGTTTACCCCCTCTGACTGTGTGTTAACAGGAAATAAAAACAAACAAACAAACAAACAGTAACTGTTTGTGTCAAATATGTCTTGAGCCCTTCTCTGTGACCTGAAGGTCTTGGTCAGACACTTCTAATCTGACTCATGGATTTTTGTTCACTTTTTAACCTCAGCAAAGCTCTGTTAACATGCTACATGTTTTTTAAGCCTACATAATCTGTAAAAAGGATGTAGATAGGAAAACAAGGACAGGGGAAAGATTAGTCTTATGTGTTTAAATGAACTGAGGATAAAAAAGTTGACCAGAACTAGCTCAACAGAACCACACCGACCTTCACCTCTGCTCTGAACTCAACTGTCTCCTCAGGATTACAGTGATGCCCAGATACCCAGAATGGGAGCAGGGGTTGACTGTGAATTTATTCATTAATGTAAGTTAATGACTGAATGCAAAAGACACCATCTAGCCTTTATCTAGCACAGACTGGCTCTAGAAAAAGACACTTTGATTAGTTCCAAATGTTAAAACCCCACTGTTATTCTGAAACACTTAGAAATGAGAAGTTATTGCAGCTTATGTGGAAGCAGGTGCTTCCTGAAGACCTGCAGGGGATAGAGACAAGGCATTACAGGATTAGAGCCCTTGAAGGCATCCTGCACGTGAACTACCAACAACTCAGTGCCAGCAGGAACGTCACAGTGCTTCTCAAGGGTTAGGAGAAGCCAGAACAGAACTTCTCTTCTTAATATACAGGCTTAGAGTTAAGTGGGACAGCATGGTCTCATGTTCTTTCCACTCTGTTACTCTCCAATTATGAACTGAGGTGTTGGCAGAACCACACAGGTGCTTGAGAGAGGGAAAGATCTTCGAAAGGCAGGTCTGAACACCCTTTGGAAATCTTGACCAAACTATTAGATAAAGAGTGTATCAATGCTGTTTCTCTAGGAACTGCTAAATATATCAAGACTTTACTAAAAAGAATGAAAAATTGTTTACTGGCTTCAGTAAAGAACACTGAGGATGTCTTCATTCCAGCCTGCTAAATACTCAAAGTGTATTGTAGGAGTTCCTCTCTCAACCAAACTGCAGTTAGCTAAGCAGAATTAGAAAGGTGAAAGTGGTTAGGTCTAATAGCCTGGAATAACTTCATCTAAAATTGAACTTCTCTGTCCAGAAATAAACAGTACTTATCTCACTATAAACCTGCATGATTTTTAGGGAGATACTGATACAACAAAACTGTGCGTAACACTTGGAAAGACCAAGCTGGAGGGATGAGACCAGGAAATGCAAAAGCATTACCCCAAGATTAAGGGATAGGAAGCCTGAGGCTGTTCTCCTGGCATCTCTTGCTACATGGGATTGAAGGGATCATCTCCATGGCCAATAAAATTACCTGCCATTTCGCTGGTAAGTAACATTCATTAGGAAACCTCATGGATCAAGTCCCAGTACCATTGAAATTGGCATTATATGACAAAATTAAAAGGCACTCGCATGGCTGACTGAGCTGAAAATGATTACACATTCAAAATGAGTTTTGCATTTTACTTTAGAAGAAGTATCACAGAACTTTCCTCTAGAGAAGTGGTTCCACTTGAGAAGACAACAGTAGTCCTGAGAAACCCCAAATTTTCTCTACTGTAGTACATCACATTGTATCCATTCACCCTAAAGCTGCTTCAACCAGTTGGCTTTGAGGAAATGGCAAGGGTGAAAGAAAAAACAGAGAGGATCAGGAAAAAGCAAGTTACTTCAGTGATTTGTATAAAAGAAACTATCCTTTTCAACCTATTTAGAAGAGAATTTCAAAGAAAAGACTTTAAGGCTTATCTTGCAACTACTTGTGATGCCTATCATTTCTCCTGGTGGGTAGAGTCAATCTTTGGGGACTCTAATAACAAGTTCTAAGCTGACAGAAAATGAGATGAAACCCAAAGATGTGGCTTAAATACAGGACCCCTGGGCTTTACAGCAGGGCTTGACAACTGCTCTGGTTGCTCTTGTAATGAAGTACCAATTGTGCTGATTAAACTAGGAACAGGAAGCCAATTTTTTTAGAGGCTCAAGGGAAGTAAACCAGAGGTAGGGCATACTTTTTGATTCTCACAGTAGTTTCTATACAGTACAGCTATTCAAGAATTACTCCACTTGTTTATTTTGTAACTCTGTACAATTTACTTAAAAAAAAAAATGTATCTTAGGTCACGTCAACTTCAATTGGTTTAATGAACCATGGAAATTAGGTAATCACCTGCTATGTGTGCTTTTGGTTAAATATGTAAGTAGCTTCTAACTACTGCTTCATGAGGATCCTCAGTATCACCAAAAGAGAACTGAAGTAGCAATAAACATGGTCTAAAGGAACTGTTTCTAATGGAGCTGTAGTACATGTCTTAAAGTACCTCACTTTGCAAATAAAATGTGCAGTTAGTTTGCAAACTTTTCAGCAGGCTGTCAGAACACTCAGAAAATTAAGTTTTCACACAGTTTTATTAACCAAATAAAGTTTACTTTTGATAGTCAATCATGACCCAAAAGAGCAGTATACAGCATTTATAAAGACATTCTATAAAAACCATATTCACTTATTTTCTGAAGTGCTCTGAATTAGCATTAGATCAGCTGAACTGTGAGTGTAATTTTTAGTTGTTTATGTCTAAAGTGAAACATCCAAAGCAAGCACAATAGAAATGTAGTACAAATACCAGGAAAAGCAACAATAAATGGAACTGCATTTGCAATTGGCTTTGCACTTAAATGAGTTGCTTACTCTAAGGTACTGTACCCTTAAAGGACCACAGAAAATCTTAGAAGATAACATATGATGTTAGTATGGGGCTTTGAGTTGTAAGAAAGAGAAGGCTGAAATAGCACACAGGGTTTCTAACACACTAGGTGGGTGTATCTGTAAATACAGCACAGCCATGCTGTGGAATACTCGAGCAATCAGTTTTAAAAATACCTTAAAACCCCGAGATATCAATGTGTTCTAGTCTGGTTGCTCCTCATGCACATACAGGAAATATTTAACATGAAAATATAATAAAATTGGGTAGTTCTTTAGTCCACAAAAATTCACGTAGCTAAGGACTGTATAATGGTCTTGTAAGTTTAAGATCTCATGCCCTGGCTTCAGGACTAAACTTAGTACAATAATCACAACTGTAAATTTTAAAAGTCTACAGAAAACCCCAAAGATCAGTTCCAGAGGATGGATTTTATCCCAAGGCCACGATTTGATGTTCCATATTGCAAGTGTACTAAATATTGGTCCGTTTGGTGCTGCAATACAAACTCTGATGCTGTCCTCAGCTTTCAGAAACAAACTTCCCAAATCCAAAATTAAGCTAACCACCTTTCATTTTCAACATCTAATTAGATTCTGATTAACTCTTACAAAATTAAGTAGAAATCACAGTCTCAAATTAGTAGCCAAAATTTTCCAAATCTCCACAGAAATGAGCCAAAGCACCAGAATTATGAGGTCCCGTATTTAGTCTATTTTATAAAGATTTCTTCAGTACTCTCAGGCTTTGTGGTACCTTTACAAATAATGATTCATGATGGTAGAACTGATAAAAGAGACAAAAAAAATAATCCAGAACGCATTTTGGAAGTCATGCCCTCAAAAAAACCCAATGAACATGAAAAAAACTGTGCTCATTAATCACTAAACTCTTTTCCAAATCCAATCAAAGACAGAGGGATCTTCCCAAAATACCAGCTGAGTTTTCATATAAATGAAGAGAGCAAGTGAATATTTTCATGAAACTTTCATAACATCAAATGCTTAATCTGCTGCTTTGGCTGATTCTTTGTGTTTCTGTTCTTCCCACTGAAAATTAAAGCATTAACATTATTTCCAATAGACATAAGAATAAAATAATTACTGTTCTTAACTGTGGGAAGAAATGGTCTACAGATTCCTCTCATCTTGTAGATAGTACCTTGCTGTTTTAAAAGTTGTTTTCACACAGGGGAAATTGTGCTCATAATATACTAAACTAATGAAAATAATTTTTCATTCATTAATTATATACAAAACTGATGGGCCTAAAGCCTCAGGAGTAAACTTACAATATTTTCATGCTGAGCACTTAATGGTTTGGCATTCCTTTGTCTTGGATTTCTGGAAGGTTGTTTTCAGAGGATGTATTGCATATTATGAGTTCAGCACTGGCTACATGTACCAAAGAACATAAATGATAACCACAGTTCACTTTCCAATGCCCAGAGTGAAACCCTTCCTTAGAACAGCAATACTCAGTAGCTAATCACTTCTTATAAACAGTTACAGGCTGTTTTCTTCTCCCCTCCCCAGATTTAATTCCCATTGCCATAAACAAGTGTTGTTCAGGTGGAAAATAGTTCAGTGTAGTGACATCTGGTATCTCAACTGAAATTTGGCAGCCCAAGCAGAGCACCAACAGCTCCAAAGTATCCCTGTTGAAAAAAAAATACAAAATTTCAAGTTTAAGTAGGGAATTAAATTTTGCACTACTCACATTTTAGTGACAACCACCTTCTGATGGACCAAAGCTACAGAAAGCACACCATACACTTTTAATATATAATATTCCCTAACTTTTTAAAGCTTTGTGAAACAAAGCTTTTTATCCTTCTCATCTAGATTAACTTTGGAGGATTTCACACCAAGTCTCACCATATACTGCAGGGCTTCTAAGACAGTGAATCCTAAAGAATGGAAAGCATGTTTGGTTCCTTTTTCCTAGAGGAGCTGCATATTTTGGTTGCCAAAAAATCTTCAATACCCACAGCAATACTGTTGCTAGAGTATAAGTTAAGAATTTCTTAAATTAACTGCACCTCACAATTTTTGACCCTCTGCTTACCTGCACATAAAGAACCACATTCTCCTGTTGGATTACATTCCCTCCTGTGGGGGAGTGAAATGTTCTCTCTCCCTATAACTATGGAATACTGAAGTGTTTGGAATATACACTTGATTAAATGCAAGAGTACAAAATTTACCCAAGAAAAATCTGAAGAACTGACAAGGAATCGTTCTGCTATTACTGCAGACACTGGCACAGCCTGTCAGTCCTGGGATAAGCAATAAAGGAAAAATGTTGTGAGAATCAACTGAAGGGGAACAGATCTAATGCTGTAATATTTGCAGACCAACAAACCGAGGACAAAAACTGCCCATCCACTGCCAAGAAGCTACAAATCTCCCAAATGTTGCACCTGTAATCTGCTTGTATTTTCATCAAAACAGGTGAAAACTCTCAGCATTCCACACTGATGAATGGCAGCAGAAGCTGCCCCAGAGCAGGTCAGTCTGAGAGCACAAAGTCACTACAGGAGCTCTGAGGGGTCTGTGGTGGTATGAAAGCTGGCCTTGTCAAAGGCAGGCTCCACTTTCAGGATGTTGCTCAAGCCCAGCAGAGAACAATGAGCCCATTTCAAAGGCTCAAGCTTTAGATCTCTGGGCTCTTTGAAATACAACACTTACTATTGTTTCCATCCAAACTTAAGAAAGATTGTTGACCCTGGGCACAGACTTTAAGATTTTCTTGTCCCTCTCCACAGATCCACAGCGTGAACTGAGCTACCCCAAAGTGACTGAAGTACTTCCCTGGCAGAGAGCTGTTCCCAGAGAACCAATTCAGCATGACAAGCCTCCTCTTATTTCTAATGTTTACTGAGTACTTGGTGCCTCAGGATATCTCACGAGAGCTACTCAATAATGCATTCTTTACTTATGGTGGAACAACACACACAGATAAATGAACCACAGCATACCTCATGTTCCAGGAACAAGGCCTTCAGCTGGCCTTTTGACCAGTAATCCAGTGCATACGCAAGAAGCTTCATCGACAAAGTATTCACACGCAAAAAATTGCCAACAAACACAACTCTGTTTATTTTCTAAAAAGAAAAGAGGAAAACGGCAAAGGATTAAGACTTTTCACTGCTTAACACAGCTTTGAAAAAACTGAGCTATGAAAGGGCAGGCTGTCTCGAGCAAGGAAATAAACCCACAAAACCCAAACAACCCGCAATTAAAACACGGATTCAAAATTTAAAACATGGCACACTCGGGGAAAAGGACCCACAAGAATTAAAGGACTTAGTTTACAGACAAGTAGCATTTGTGTTGCAAATTAAGCGAGCACTTTCAGTAATTAAGCCAAAGAAACAGCCCAGCTACAAGTGAAATGAAATGAAAGATAGTTCTGTTTGGCAGAGAAGACTCAATGCCTTCATAGCCCTGTACAATGCTGCTTGATCCATATGCAACAAGGCAGCACTGTAAAGAAGCCGAAGGCAGTAAGACATGGCAGGTGTTCCTTTCATCTTCAGAACTCAATATACCTCAGCACAGCATCAGAGCAAGAGTTAATACTGCAGGTGAGATGTGAATTTTAATCAAGTCAAATGTAAAAAAGTGAAAAATCATTTAATTTTCCCCCATTTGCTGAAATAAACCCAACGTTAAGCGAAAGCAACATTAAACACTGGTTTAATGACACAAGAAAAGAAAATTTAATCGTGGTAGTACTTTGTATAGTGCTTAGATAAGCACTTAATTACATTAAATCAATAAATACACTAATTGTATCTAAGTTGTTATACTAGTTTTTGTAACAATTCAACCTGTAGTCAAATGACTAACATGGGACTGTTTTTCACCATCTTGATTAGTTCCCAGTGAAGACAAAGTAGATACACCATTAAGGCACAAAACCATAATTCTGTTCTACTGCAGGAAGCTAAAGTAATTACATCCATTTTACCTTTATATATCAGTTCAAGATATTAGTTTGTATATCCCTATTAACTGTTTCTTATGATTTGTAGTCCTGTGACATAGCTGGAATGACACCAAAAAAACTGGAATAAAGCTAGTTTGTGCAGTTTACAAGTTCTGATTTGTCCTCCTTTACTCCCACCCTTAAATATAAATTTCATACATTTGTCTCAGTCTATTAATAGGTACTTTCAACTTCACTCTCATTTTAACTCTTTGTTATCAAGTTTTGCCATAAAGCAAAAACCCAATATTAACTTAATACTCACAAAATTAACTTTATTCTCCAAGACAGAGATGAGAAAAAGTCAGAGAATGAAACTGAGGGAGACCATGCAATATTAAAACTAGAAAAATGTATTAATCTGGCTCCTAAGCAAAAGGAGGGTTTTTCAGGTAACAAAGTTGTTGCTGCTTCTGAGGTGATCACATACAGATATTTTAAGCGGAGCTCTAAATACAGTTACCCATAGTTTTTTCCAGGAAAGCTGTAACTAAACCTCATTTTATCCAAAGCTTGTTCATAATGAATAAGGAAATCCCTAGTGCTCAGACAGTAATGCCTGCTATACCTAAATTCAGTGTTCTTCCACAGCTTCTTGACTGTCTGTGGTCCTATTAAAACTGAACACACACTGGGTCTGTTTAGCAGGACTTTGAGAAATAGATGATGGCAGGAAACCATCTTGGTATCAACCAGCAAGGTGACAGGTGTCAAAACAACCTGAAGTCTCAAGAGTCAGTAAAAATTAAAAATAATGCTTAACTAGAAGCAAGGCTTTCCACAGGCTTCGATCAGAGAATAATTTCAGCTTGAAGAAACTGCTGGAGGTCATCAGGTCCCATGCACTGCTCAAAGCAGCAATTTAAATGCAGCAGTTGCTCAAGTCACATATTCTGAAACTCTCCAAGGACAGAGTCCATGTTTCAGGGCTGGACATACTCCCCAGGTGACCTGCCCTGGCAGGCGGGTTGGACGGGATGATCTCCAGAGGTCCTTTACAACCCTGACTATTCTGTGATTAAAGTACTAAGAAGGGGTTCAGAATACTTTGATTGTCTTTGGAGAATTGGGACATGGATCTCTTTGCCAGTGGGGAGGGTAACCTGACAAGGAGCGCTTCCAACCAGCTTTGTTAGGGAATGGAGCCCAAAGCCTGCAGGGAAGTGAGGGAGTAGGGGAGCACAGGATGCTGGGATGAAGGACCTGAAGTCCCCTTGCTAAACCAGGATGATTGTGGGCATAACCCAAGGCTACACAACACTACATGAATTTCCTCATTTCATCTGAGAATGTACTAAAAGGTTTAAAATTATACATCATTTTAGCAGTCATTTAATCTGGAAACAAATAATAGACCTGTAGATAGATCACTTCCTTGGCAGTTTTTACCTCATTCACTGCACACATCCGGGCAATAGACCCAATGTTATTGGTGATGGTGACCAGTATGGCTCTTGCAAGATCTTCTTTACTAACAGACTCTCTCTTCTCTTTGTAGATCATATTCCCAAAACTAGAACAGGAAAAATTTCCATTAATTAAAAGTGATTTATGTGCATTTGAAGTAGTAATTCCAGAATGTAATTTTTATGCTGTAACAGAACCTAAGTTTCATGTTTGTTCTTGAGGAGCTCCCTTTCAAAGTCTGTGTTAAATACAGCAATTTAACACTACGTGTTTATTTATTCCTTCACAGCAAAAGTCAATCTTGTTACAATAATGACCCCCAACAAAATATTTTTGTTCTGGTTGACTTCCATGAAGAACCATCTACAGCAAAATGTAGTCTTATCCTTTGGTATTATTCTAGTATGGGGCTGTGTTTTGGATTTGTGCTGGAAACTGTTGATAACACAAGGATGTTTCATTATTGCTGAGAAGAGTCAAGGCCTTTTCTGCTCCTCAGCCCACCCCACCAGCAAGCAAAACAAGGTGCACAAGGACTTGGGAGGGGACCATTCTGTTCTGTTCCATTTCTGTCCTATTAAACAATCTTTATTTCAATCCAGGAATTTTCCTTTTTTTCCCCCCATCTCACTAGGGGAGTGAGTGAGTGGCTGGGTGGTGTTTAGCTACCTGCCGGGTTAAACCACACCACCTCTGCACTTCTTTCCTGTCACTCCTGTGATCACCTCACATAAAGCTGTGTATGACATATCACATGAGGTTTCCTCAATATCTAGCTGGCAGGCACCTGCAGTTGTCTGTGGCTTTAAAACTTCTAAAAAGCTAAGGATATATACTTTTAGGATAAAAAGTAACTTGACAACAATAAAAGTTTGCAAAAAAAGCAGTTTTCTCTGCATTAATAGTTCAAGTCTTGTTTTCTAAGCCCCCCAAACCAACAGAAGAACCAACAAGGAGACTCTTGCTTACCTGGATGCTACAGCCCATCCTGGCAAGCCAAATCTTTCATAGTCTCCTCCATAAATATCCCGAACCAGCTTGTCAGCATGTGTGCTGTCTCCTTTGGATGCCATTTCCAGAGCTTCTTCAAAACTTTCACAGCCCGTCAACAAACTGCACAAACCAAGAAAGGTCCCTCCACCTAGACTAAGGACAAAGGAAACTAGTTGCTTTTAAGTAGTATTTCCTCACATGAAAGATTCTTATGTCTGACTAACAAAATAAACAAATAAAGCCCTTCAATTTAGACACCAAGCTCTTCGTTTTTCTGCTTAAAGGTTGACTTAACAGCTGTCAATCAGTTTCCCGTTATTTTAAGTCACTTACAAGAAGGTAAGAGCTAACAAATAAACTCTCAAAACATAAGCTGGAAGACTTCATGAGAGACAAACTCCTTAAATACCCACATCATGCCACTGACTGATCCTTGATCATTTACTGTAAAACACGTGTGGACACATCTGTTCTTATGGAGCAAGAGAAACACAGGTTCACTGTACATGTTATCAAAACTTAAAACCTACAGAACTCTCACCATGGAGCACTTTTATCACTCATTGATAAATAAGATAAACTAAACTCCTCAATAACAGAACCATGGGAATGGGCTTCAATGACTGCAACTGTAAATTACACATAAAATACTTTCCCATACTACAGAGTGAAGAAAAGAATAGGTGGGGGAATCAGGGAGAGGAAGCATTCAAAACCAGAAGGCTTGTAACAACCCCAACTCAGGTGTTTAAGTTACCTTGTTCCAGTTACTCTTTTATAGTTGTCTTTGGAATGGACTGATAAAATACTGACTCCTGAACCAATGTTAACAACCAGCAGTGGGTATGGATCATCCAGGTTAAAAGGCATCTTTTGGCATCTCTCAGGGTCTGAGGCATTTTCAAAATAATAGCACTCTGCCTGGCCATTGAAGCTGACAGAGTCTATGTACAATAAGCCTTTGACAAGGCAGTCAAGCTCATCCAGTTTGTGCAGCTGGAGGTTTCCAATCTGTGTTAGGAAAGAAAAAAAGACTGTGTCAACATGTTCTAACATTGCACAAACATGCTACAAATTTATGAGTATATTTGCACTGCCCAACTTCAAGAAGCTCTCTCAGGCGACTAATTCAGGAACTTCAATCTCAGTATAAAGCCAAGAAAGAATTAAGAGGTAAGTTCTGAATACATCAGTTAGCAAATCCATCTGACTACAAATCCAGATCTCAGACCTGGCAGACAGGCAGTATAAATATCTGCTTCGGTAAGCTCAAAGATAACTTTTGAGATACTCAGACATTAACCCACTGAAAAATTATCAACATTTTCCCCCAATTTAAATCCAAAAAAAGATCATCAAATACCCTCAAGGTCCCACTGAGTGTTATCTTAGTGGAACTCACACATCTGCATGTCTTTTCAAGGTTTGTGGGCTTCCTCCCCCATCTTACAAGTCAAACAGTCATTTCTAAGATGTCAGCGGATAAAAAGCTCAATGGCATTGCTTTAACTATCCTTGCAGCTTCAAGGATAATCAGAAAACCACAGGGCAGAAATTCTGAGGGGCTTTTGGCTCACTACAGCTCTTCCTCAGTTTGGCACGGGACATTTAAGCTGCCGTTCTCTCACAGAGCAGAAAGACAATTTAACAGATGCTGAGGATTCCACGAAGGCCGTAATTTCCCATACTTAATACAGTTCATAATTAATAATATTTGAGCACTGCACAGTTTTTCAAAATACTGATTATTTAACCCATCATCAGCAATGCTTTTGGCATCAGCTGCAGGGTACCTACTGTGCGAAAATCTTCTTCGAACTTGTACGCGCCACCGCCGGTGGCACAGAGCACCGTGTGTAGTGTTGAAAAGTTCTTGTTTCTTCCCATTTGGATGAAAGTAGGCAAATCATGAGTTGGGAATCGGATAAAGTGCAAGTTTCCTCTTCGAGCAAAAATGGTCAAGTCTTTCAGCTCCAGGTGGACGTCCCGAATGCCAGTGGATCCATAGGCTACATTGGAAGTCAGGTATTTGCGGATGCTCTTCAAGCTTTCGACCTCCTCCTGCTCCTCCTCTGCAGTGATGTCAATAGGTTCAAAATAGGCAAGCTTCACCAATGTTCCCCCAATGTCCATGCCAAACCATGGGAAAGCTGTGAAGGTAAAAGAATTACTGTTAAACAGACAAAGCCATACACGGAATTTAAGAGTTAAACCAATGTTGTACTAATTTTTCAACCAAGACATTAACAACAAACCTCACAGGAATGAGGAATTAGCACTCCTTTCAATTACATGACCTTAAGTATCCCTCTGGCCACAGGTAAAAATGGGAAAATTAGCAACTCCACACATTTAAATGCTATTACATGTGCTCAGAAAGCCCAACTAAAACTCCCCAAACTATACCATATCTTTCAGACCAACTCATAAACAAAATTCAACCACTTTTTTTTTACTGAGAACAAAGGATTAAAATAACCTTCTCTTCTAAAACAATAGCTCTGACGCACTTCAGCACCAAGACTGCAATGCACACGGGAAGAAAGCAGGTTACACATTAGAGCTGGCAACAGAGCAGGACAGTATTCCTCCTCTAGCAGCTCCTCACACAACATGTTTGAGAGGGAAGCTTAAATTTATTTGCATGCACTTGAAAAACTGGCACAGTTAAGATGCCCAATTTATATCCCTTGAAGTTAAAGGGATAACAAAAACTTCTATTAAGAACTACAAGTAAATCACAAAATTAACATTACTGAATCTAGGTTCTTTTTTTTTTTTCTTTTGTACCTTGGCTAGAAGAGAGCATTTCTGTACTACAAAACAACAGTAAACCAAGTGTTTTGCCTTTGTCACTTCTGTGGCATGACTGCAGTTCCTAACAGGGATTTTATGGTCTATGACATGCGGGACCATAATTTGAATATGCCTGCACCAATTAATTTTCCCAACCATGCGCAGTGAAACAGATACTCAGTAACTCTACAGCAAAGACAACATCTTCATCTGAGAGTTTTCCCACTGTCATCTCCCAGAAACAGTATTTAAAATTTAATTTGTAAGTTTAAGAAAGACTCTGAATACCCAGCTGGGAAGCTCATGTTTTTATTTTCTAACTGACAGTATAACTTGCTTGTTTTGCTTGCCCTTTACTTTTTTTTTAGAGTTCCAGTTTATTTCTTCAGATGCAATTCATATCTTACAGAAACATGAAACTCAAGGACAAAACCAAAAAGATGTTAACATGTTCATGTTGAGAAAGATGCAATTACACTGAATTTACATTACTAGTGGGATCTATCCTTGAGAAGAATGATCTACCAAAACATTTTAATGTATTTAGGCAAGGCTGGCTGTGTGTCAGTTCATTTATGAGTGCTAAAGTTGAAAAGAAATTTCAAAGTTGCCTCAGCTTTCAGGAATGGGTGCCCAGAGAATATTGTCAGATATTAACAAAAAAAATTTAGTTGGTTACCTTACTCATCTGGAAAAACTGCATTTAAATACAAGAGTAAGTTCTGTGAGCAAAATCTAGCTCCAAGTGGAAATAAAGGTGGTCTATAACCCTGATGTCTGTTGTATAAAGTTGAGGTCTAAGCATAAAGCCACACATGAACTGATTTCACAACTGCCTGACCTCTTTATCCTGTGACTCTGGACATAAGAAAATCTGTCACCTTACTGTTTGACCACAATTAGCTGATGATTTATTAAGTGACCTCACCAAGTTTCAGCCTCTTGCCATAAACGATGTCACAAGACCAAAAGCGAAGAAGGGAAGCTGATTCACCCAAGGGACCAGAACATGTCTGCAGGAGTCAATCCAACCCATTCAGAATTTAACTGAGACACAGCAAGCCAAGTACTATCTAAAATATTTGGGATTCTTTCTGCTCAGTGGGCCTACTGAAAAGCTAGGATCTAGTCCTTCACAACAGGAAAGAGAGGGAAACAGCTGAAAGTTCAGGCAATGAGCTTAACCCAGATTTGGTGCAAGTCATGCCCATTTGTCAAAAGATCCACCACATCCCATGTTAAATGATCCAAAAGGCTTTTGCAAATACAGTGTTAGTCACACCTCTAGAAATCTCAAGGTTTATGAATCAAGTATATCAAGTAAAACACTGAACTGTAAGTTTATTCCATAATTTAAAGAGGAATGTATTTTATGCTGAAAAATGCGATCATGCTGCACAATATCAGTTTTCTGGGTTAACTGAGTGATCTTAACAGCCATTTAAGGATTTTGAAACTGAAGAAATAGGTCAGTTTTCCCCTCTGTGACAAACCCCAAGAAGTTTCACATTTTTCTATTGAAAATTTGTCAAGATTTGGCTGGTAAGTACATTGCTCAAGTTTCATTTGCAAGGTGGAGGAGTTGTGACAAGCAAGTGGGCCCACGTCCTGTTAACTTACTCCTTATACCAGCAGCCCAGAAGAAGGAATTACACAAGGATTCTTGTGCTTGTAAGCCACTCTTGATTGATTTATATTGATTTTATTACAGGTGCAGCCAGGAAAATTACAGCCATTTTGTGTTCCAAACACAGAGGAGGATACACATACGTGGCAAGAGCACAATCAGCTGGGACTGCAAGGATACAAGATTTATCCATGCTTGAGCTGCCTTTAAATAATGGAAATACACTGATTCTCCTGAATTTTAATATAATTGTACATGGACACAACATGGAAACCTCTTATAGCTGCAGCCTTCAAATCAGATCGCTTTGGGAGGATCCTGGTGCAGAATCCATCCCGTCTGGATGCAGAGGGATGGAGAAAACAGGAACCCACGTGGAAACACCAGTTCCTCTTCCAATTACTGGAAGCGTTTTCATTTGCAGGGTTAAAATGAGGCCACAGAGAGATTCAGGATGGAGGACTAGTCAGAGTCCTATGGAGAGTTTCCTACAAGACTTCCAGCAGCCAGGCTAATCCTGACAATGCCTGAAGAGGACACACAGACTTCAAGTCCTGCCATATATACAAAGAACCTGTGCATCATTTTAAACCACATATACGAGCTCTCTGCTTAAGGGGAGGTTGCTGCTCTTTGAGGCACGTTTGAAGCACAGTTTTCACTCTTACACAGCATATCTGCATCACTAGCTGGTATGGTCTCTCAAATCCATGAAAGATTTCTCAGGCAGTCTTGTATTTGAAAGCTGGCTTGGAACACGACAAAAATAGCGTGGTGTGTACCTTGGGTTGAGAATATATAAATGACTCTAAAAAGTATTTTTATACTTGAATCTGTGGGTCATGCTTCTCTAAGTGAGAGATGTAGCAGAATGCCAGCAACAGAATCTTTTGGAAAAAATATCCCCAGACATCAGCTTGATCCTTTCAGCAGTCACAGTTAAAGAAATGTGCCTGGATGACACCTATACCAATTACACAACCTTCCTTTCAAGCTTATAGGTCTGCACAGACCAGGTTTGAGGACCTGCACAGCTGTAACCACCATTTCACAGCTTCACTTCATAAGGAGGATCAATTCCTCTGCATTAAAACTGGGCTTTTTCCACAGCTCTAGGGGATTGGGTCATTAAAAGATTTTTCTCAGCTCTTCCTCTTTGTAACTATTCCTGTTCCCAGGAACATTCCACAAAAAGTGATGCACAGCTCAGAAGTATTCCTTGCTGAGAATCTGACTACTATTCACAGAACAAATCCAGGGCCCATCTTTTCAAAGTTCAGCTCCTCTCTGCAGAGGTCAGCAACAATTTGAAAAAAAGAAAAGTAAAACTGAGTTTTTTATTCAACAAGCCCAACTGCCTTGGATAGAGTACATAAAACTCCTTCACAAACATGCATTCTGCTTTTAGGAACTCAAGCCAGGCTCTGTTTAAGAAAACACAAAACACAGATTTTTACTATCTGAGAAGAGACAAATACATGAAGTAGAACACTAACTAGGAAACTGAAACCCATATGGTGTTTAATGTGATACTTCACAACAAATTTAACTGTCTCCAGGACAGCAAGAGGGGGATCATAACATACAACCTCCTTAATCCAAATCCAGATTTTCTTCCACTCCTTAGCTCTGCCAGGAGCCACTGTGGTCCCTACCTAGACACAGCAACCAGGAACCTTTGCTAGAAAGCAACAAATTGTTCCATACATGCCACGAAGTAACTTTGACAGGCAACCCCTCAAAAAATCCAGATGTTTAAGAGGATTCCTTAGCACTGCTTCCTGCAGTGTAGAAAAGCACTTCCCACAAGGGAAGAGCATTGTGCTCATACAATGATGTAGCAGTTCTGCTGACTAAGAAAACCCTATGCTGGTGGCTGTTGTTTTCTGAACCACAATAATCTTTAGAGATACACAGAGAAGCCTCGTTCTCTTGTGTCTGCACTTCTCAAGTTCTTGGTGTACACAGTTACTGGCAGAAATCTTAAGGTTATTTATATCTTATATAAGGTATTTATATGCCAAAGGAAATAATTGCAGTAAAAAGTCTCTCATGCCAATACAAACACAAAGGCTGAAGTGTTTTCCTTTTACATGGGCTCTGCTTCAGCAGAGCAGAGGACCTTCGAAGCTCTCCACCCAGACCACACACACTAGTATTCTGATTTTGCACACTCACTTTGGATCCAAAGCTGCAGGAAGTACAAACTCAAAGACTTTTACTACTCTGCTTATTCAGTCAAGTGTAAGATTCTTCAGTTTAATGCTCTATTTGTATTTAGCTTTTAAAAACTGAGAAACAGATTCCTGTCAGCCTCTTTCCTAAGAATGTAATGACACATCTGAAACACAAACACCTTTGAAATACTTCCTTCTCACTGTAAGATAAAGTAACATTCTGGGTCAACCCTGCCTTAAATTAAAAAGAACCAACCTTCAAAGAAGAGTAGCTAACCTCTATTTCAAGCTGGGAGCTCTGCACCACGGGAAAAATCCCCAAATTCACAGCTGTCAGTGGCAGCAGAGAGCAGCCTACATCACTTTGTGTCACCTTTGTAAGAAAGCTTATGTATTATTAAGACTGTTGCACTTCAAATACAAATGTAGCCTGGGGGTCAAAGTTCATAATTCTATACAGCCCTAAAATAAAGGGAAGGAAAATGACCATGAAATCCATGAAAACTTAAGCTTACTCCTGCCAGCACTGCAACAGTTCTCTATCA